ATTTTTATTATATAATGGATCATGCCGAAATCACTAACTTAGCCGAATCGGTCAAACAATCATTCGGCTAATTTTTACAGGAATTATGATAATAGCTGTTATATACCGATCATGCCGAAAAAATTACCAGCCGAAAAATTTTTCGGCTAATTTTTTTTATAGGTGTCCCAGGAATAATGAAAACAGTAAAAAATTTCCAACCCGGTTATATTTTATAACCGGTTTAACCCGATTATAAATTCGATTACGATAACCGGTTCCAAACTCTAGCAGATCCTCGATTTTGATTTTTTCTCTATCTTTGAGCGATAACCACTTAACTTAATTCGATAGAAATTTTTTATTCAAATTCTATGCATTCATAGTATTCAAATAAAAAAAAGGTTTATCGAACTTGGTTAGATGGTTGTCGAGATATCTTCGTTCAAAATTTTGAAAATTCATATTTTTACGGAGATTTGCACGACAATCGGTATAAAAAAGTAGGTGCAAGAGTATCAAAAATGAATGGTTTGTACCACTAGCCTACCAGTTTTCTGGGTCCCAATTATCTAAGATTTGGAGTCTTTATTGTTATTTCTAGAATTCTAGAATTTGTTACGCTTGTATAGCCACACATTTAGCTATGAGATCTCTCCAAATGCATTACGATGAGACTATTTGTAAAAAATCATTTAGAGAGGTATCGGATTAAGTAGTAAAAATATATAACTTTATATTATTTGAGCTTAAGTAGAGGAATGTATTTAGGGAGGTTTTTCATAGAGCGTCCATTTCAGAGAGTAGTATTTTGAGAGTTTTGATTGTACTATTTTTATAATGTACGTACGTACAGGTTTCACCAAAAGTTTGTAAAATATTTGTATACTAAATTAAGAAAAGGATTATTAAGAATGGAAACTTTAATGTTACAAAATTAATAATTATAATTTGTGACAGTATCGCGAAAATTAACATGTACTACATTCACGAATGAAACACGAAAATGTAAACACCGCATATTCCAGTTCACTTTATATGTAGGAGCATAAGGTTTCTCTCTGCAGTTGCTACTTCTGCCACAGAAATAATAAATAATTTATCATTTCCTATTTTCATCTTGAATAATATTAATATAAAATAATGAATTTTAACCTTAATTAAAAATGTGGATTCAAAAATTAAAGTCAAGTAAATTTATTTATTTTATAATTATAATTATATTAAAGATTTCTAGAAATGCAGGCCTTGTACCAGATCGAGCTGGGCATGCAGCAGTTATAATTAAAGACCAGATTTATTTTATGGGAGGTTCTCGTTTTATTCTGGCTACAAATCCAATTAGGAGTTCAATAAGAGTATATAATTTATCAGATGAGGTTTTTTATCTGGATCTCTCGTCTCAATTCTCCACTGGTAGCCCTCCATATGTAGATCTTACTGACACATCTGCACGAATGAAATTTGGAAGTGAAAAAGGTTAGCCACTTGACTTAAAATATTTGGACAATTCTAAAATACTTGATATGCACCCATATTTTTTTTTATATAATAATTAGGAACTGTGGTTCTCGCAGGAGCTAGTGGAGAAAATGCGTTTCTCATTGGAGGAGTGCAGCAAAACCTCATACGGCTTAATGAGATTGATAGTAATATAACTATAACTTCGAATCAAACATTGATGATAGAAGAAATAAGCAAAACATACAATGTGACAGATAAATTCATTTTTTATTATCAGCCATATGCAAAATCTTGGTCGTATCCTTTACATCAAAAAGGAATGCAACCAGTTAGACGTAGATCAACCTCAACAGTTATTGATCAGAAAGGGATATTATATATATTTGGAGGGAGAGTCCAAGTGGACACAGGGTCACCTATATTTATTTGTTTTAACGATTTATATACATTTGATACGGTATTGTTATCGTGGAATACGATTAACGCAACCAATGTTCCTTCACCTCGAAGTCATGCCGTTCCAGTATTGCTTCCGAATGGTAAGATTCTATACATTGGTGGTGTCTCTCAAACTGAACCTGGAGTGGATGCAGACTTAATAGATATGAATGAGGTAAAAATATAGCATGTGAATAATTTTTTTAGAATTTAGAATTTCCATTAGTCTTATACATATATTAATTTGTAACGTTTATTATAGATCCCAGTATTTGATACAATTTCTTCGACCTGGTCATATAAGGTATAGTTTTTTTTGGTTTTTTGATAATAATTATTGGTGAGCGAATTTTCTCGATAATGTATATTGTATTTTCTAGTATGCAAATCAGCCACTTCATGTTCAGCCGCGATTAGCACATACAGCAACCTTAGCACCAGAAAATAATACAATTATTATTATAGGCGGAAATTCAAGTAGGAAACATTTAATCCATTTAAATTTATTATTTGTTTTTTTTCTTTAATAAATATAATACTAATTAATTTTTAATTTTTTAAAGATTATAATTTAAACCTTACCACCCCCTTCCCAGTTTTCGTGTTGTTAAACATCACAAAAGAACCTTACGAATATTCTGAGCTAATTACTTCCGGAGTTAACCCACCCCCATTAGCTGTTCATACTGCTAATTTATATCAAAATTATCTTATCGTTGCTTTTGGTAATTATATATTTATATTTATTATTAATATTTGTTATTTATTGTGGGGGCTGATGCTGAAATTTTGATTAAATTTTTAAAATTTTTGGAGAGCATTTTTTTAGTCATTATATGATAGCTAGATGAGGTTTAGGATTAGGGCTATTAATTAAAGTGTAAAGATTAGTTTTAATAGGGTTTATAGATCTAAACAGAGGCCCCAAAATTTCCATCAGTCCACACAATTGTTTATAAAATAATATCCACCTTTTGCTAAAAATAATAAATTTTCAATAGGCAATATTACTAATAATTTGACGCCGCCAGTTGAAATAAATTCCTGCATTTTTTTATTAGATATTCAATGCAAAACATGGGTAACTACTTTTACACCTGGTAAATCAATTTGTAGCAATGAATTGAGCAACGGAACGAGTAACGGAACGAGTAATGGATCAAGTAGTGGATTGAACACTACTATTGTTATTCTTGGTGGGATTGTTGGTGGGATTGTTCTAGCCAGTTTAGCCATTTTATTTATATATAAAATTAACGATTATTTGCATAAAAAAGAAATCAATAGAACAAATTTTGGACAAAAAGAACCACCTGAGTGACGAGAAGAAAAAATATCTATAGATTGATTGGCTATTTTCCATTTCATCGGACTTTAGTACCTGAAAAATCTACTCCACGATTAGTTTGATAGTAATGCTGGGATTATGCTCACTAAATTTTTCAAATATTTTGCTTTCATAATGCGTAGATATGTACTATTTATGTGTAAAATCTTCGTATTTTTTTTAAAAAAAAAATTGAAGCAAAATTAACATTTATTTTTCTATTAATACAATGAGCGTTGCTTTAACTATCCGTCTTATTCATATATAAGTGACGGAAAGAAAAACCTATAAGCATGCTTTTTGAACATTTATTTTTATTAATAAAAATCTCCTAATACCAAGTAATCAAAAACTTATTATTTTAACAACTTTGAAATAATATTAATGGATTGGATTTACTACCCGATAGCCTGCAGCATATTAGCAAGATATTGAACCTAGGTGCCGCACAAAAAATGCGCGGCAGATCCTCGATTTTGATTGGCTAAAAGCGACGATCAAAAAATTAGGCCGGAATTACTCATAATTTTACTAATGAAATCGCAGCCGCCCATTACAGCTGTTCTCATAAATTTTGGGACATCTGGTAAAAAATTGACCGAATGATTTTAGACCGATTCG